TATTTGGTATATTTTGGTAACTGTAAAGCATTTTAAGTACATTGATTAATGACACAATTTCATGGTAACTGAAGAATCTACTCTATTACTAGATCTTAAACACAATTTAAATAAGGGTGATTCAAATGATTAAACTGTGTCTAAACTGTCACTTTCAAATTGACAAGGATTTGGTGTGGTCTGTGATCAAATTAAGTTAGAAAAGGAACTACACTAAGAAATAAAAATTTTCAGAATTAGTCATATGTACTTGACTCAATTTTTTTTAAGTGCAATCTCTGTGAGAAGCAATGAGCAATACCTATTGTGGCATTAGCTTACAGGAAGATAAAGTTTCACTTCTGAACAGGAAAGACAGAGCTGTAATAGAGAACACTAATTAGTAGCAATGGTGTGTCCATGGGTGCTTTCAAAGTGGCATGAAAACCAAAGACTAGGATGAAAAGTTAAAGATTATAATAATAAATAGCAATTATAGTGAGCCTGTATCAATTGCTAAACTATGTATCAGGCACTGTTTCAAGTTTTTATACATTTACTCGGTGGTTCCCAGGTTGCAACCATAGTGATGAACGCAGACTGTCTGAGGGTAGAACTAAGCACCGATACTTTAAAAGTCCCCAGGTGATGCCAATGCGCAAAAGTGTGGGGCCCATGGTTCTAGTTTAACTGCTTCAATAACCCTAGGAACAATTTTTGTTACAATCCCTGTCTTACTACGACGAAACTGAGACAAAGCAAAGTGATGTACCTTGCTGAGGTCAAAGAACATGCTAAGATATGAAGCCAAGTGATCTGATTCCAAAGCCTTTGATCTTAACAATCACAATACCTCTTCAATGCTTGAATATAATTTCTAATGAGTAGCTCCCAAGCACCACCCACTCCACCAAGTGCTGCTGGTTCTGAGGCTCCCTTCTGGGAATGATGGTGGGGGCTGTAACTATTTCAAGGTTGAAGTATAGAGGCTGGGTTAGGCTGGTGATGGCATATGGGTCACTTTAAAATCTTGTCACCGAGGACCAGGCTTTTGGTGGTTTGGTTTTGTTTGCATCATCATGTTCCTTTAGGCTTTATATGAGGGTTAAGTCAAAAGTACTGCTATGAGTTTCTAAAATCATAGAAACTTATTAATGTTTGTTTGTTGGACAAATCAAAAGGGCTAAAAACAAATGCTGACATTCAATTTCTAAATTTTACATTTTGACCCTCTTTATATCAATACAGAATTTCAGCACTTAAAATGGACATGTTCTGAGCTTTCAGAAGTCCCCAATTCTTGAATACAATGTAAATCCTCACAACTGCCCCAGTAAATAACATCATGATAAAGGGAGAAAAGACTGAAGTTATCAGATATCATTTTGCTTTTACCCACAATCAATGTTCATGAAAGCAGCAATTAAGAAATCAAAAGACACCCATTTAACCTAGCTTCGATGGCTTGATAATCAGAACCCAACTAGAGGAAGATAAAAAAACGAAACAAAACAAAAACACAATTTTTGATAAAGGAAACGAGGGTAAATTACAACAATTTGACGAACTTGACCTATACTCATGAAGGTAGTAACTCTAAATACCAACAGAGAGGGAAGGAGTCTTCACATGAAGTATCTATGCTATCTATCCCCTCTGTATACAGGGTAGATAGGGACCGGCAACTTACACATTGGCTACCTAAAATGAGGGGATAAAGGGTTGAAGCCACTGGCTTACAAAGTTTGAAGAGGGAGTTTAGTTTAAGAGTGTATTGGGGAAGCTAGAGTCCCCACTGAATAGTTTGCATCTTGTTTAGATAGGTCTGGTAAAAAAAAAAAAAAAATGGGGATAACATTCTTATGATTCAATAGTGAGTAATTGTTATGACTAATTGCAACTGTCACAGTCATAAATGAAGTTTTGTAACAAAAACAAGGGGGTGGTTAATCTTACAGTCCAGAAACAGAGGACCCTGGGACCATCAAGGGAGAAGAGCACAAGCGGAATGCGGGACCTTAGCCAGAGAAGCAGCAACACCAGAGATGGAGACAGAGATGGGGACATGGAGAGAGGGAGCAGCTGAGGACTCTAGATTCATAGGAAAAAAGGGATCGAGATGGTGGCCAGGAGGCAGACTTGCAGAATGTGCCTTTTGGGGGTGTAAATTATTACATATGCCTGAGTGGTAAAAAAAAAAAAAGAAAGAAAAAGAGCTAAAGTGAATAGAGAGAGATACTGTTAACTGATGGTACATGGAGGGGATTATAATCATTGTAATGAAACAAGGTGTATGATTTGTTGAATATAAAACTGATGATCTGCCCTGTAAAACTTTCACTCAATTCACAATAAAAACTTTAAAGGTGTGTCTGACCAAGTAATGGTATTTTCAATCACCTTACATGAATGTGAAAGTTGCATGACCTTAGAAGAATCAAAGCATTTGAATTATGTTGTTTGAGAAGAATATTAAAAGTACCATGGACTGCGACAAGAACAAACAAATTTGTCTTGTTAGAAGAACAGGCAGAATGCTCCTTAGAAGTGAGGATGACAAGACAATGTCTCTCATAGTTTGGACATATCATCAGAAAGGACATTATTCTTGGTAAAGTGGAGAGTCACAAGAGGAAGAGCCTCAATAAGACGGATTGATACGGGCAGTAACAATGGGTTCAAACATAACAAGTATAAGGATGGCACAGAACTGTGCAGTGTTTTGTGGTTTGTATAGGGTCTCCATGAATCAAAACGGACTCATTGGCACCTAACAAGAACAGCAGTTGTTGTTGTTGTTAAGTGCCGTCGAGTCGGTTCTGACCCATAGCGACCCTGTACAAGGTTTCCGAGGCTGTAAAGAACAGCAGTATTTTACCCAAAAATGAAGAGTACCGAAAACATTACAGCATGACTGCCTCCGATTCTTCATAGTTGGGTAATAACAGATAGAAAAATAATAAAACCTTGTAATTCCTATATGAAAGAAGCACTCTTCCAAAGTGTGCCTTAAAAAAAAGTCATGGCATGCTACATGTCACTGACCTTTGGGGTCATTCCAAAGTGTAAACTCCGAGGGCCTAAAGTATGTAATAGAATCACAGCTCTAGAAAATTATCTTGTTCCTCAAATGAAAGGAAGAAACGAATTGCTTCTAAGACAGTCCCATCCTGTAAACTGAGGACCCCTAGTGGGTCCTGCAGTAATAGCTCCTTGTGAACAACATGTATTATCTATAAAATGAAGATCACACACCACTTCTCAGATATATGTATGAGGGCCTTCAAAAAGTTAGTGGAAAAAAATCCCATTATTTTTTAATTCCATTTTTTCATAAAGTTTTTGAAGCCCCCTTACTTTCAGCTGTGCTTAATCACACACACATTCATTTAAAGGACTGCAAAAATAGCAGTGCCTTTTTGTAATTACATTCTAAATTCTAATTAAAAGATACCCAGAATATTTTTCTTGACTGGAGAAAGCTAGACGTTTTTGATGTTAACAAGAAAAGTTACTGTACCCTACCCTGAGGTCTTAGAGCATCATTGCTAGGGCAGACACTCTCGGAGGCCTGCAACCTAGAACAGATGATCCTACCAAGAATAAGAGAAATGTCATACATAACTCAATCAATAACATAATCGTGTTAATTGAAAATAATGAGTTTGTTTTTATTGCAGTAAATTTTAGGGAGTGAAAAAGGCACTAGCCTACTAAAAAGAATTTGTAGTCTTTGGTCAAATATAAAGTGGCGGAGTCAACATAAAGTAGCACTAGAAGATCAACTAAGCACATCCCTTCACAATGGAACTCTGACCTTCACTGGTTATCTGTAGAAAAGGCAAAATGTAAAAACCTGCACCAGGCTTCACTGAACCAAATTTTCAATTCAGTTAAAAAACTCAGACACATACACACCATTCAAGAGTCATGCCATGGCCTGGCCCATATGTGTGTGTACGGGTAACCGATTTTTGCCCTCTGAATCCAGTAATATCATTTATTTAATTACTGAATAATTCTCTTAGATTGTCTAATTCCCAATGATTGTTCCCAGAGGTAGTCAGGTAGTTCAATTATTTAATAGAGGAATGATCTAAACTTGAGAAGAGCAGCTCTTTTTCCTCTACAGAGTTTCCTTAAAACTATACCAATCAGCACTTCTAGTGTTAGGACAGGGGAAGAGTTTTCAGAAAACACTGCCTTTAGGATTCAGATTCATTTCTCATCCTCAGTATAAAAGATTACTAAGTGAGAAAGACTGTAAATACCAACCTTACAGGTATCACACTTAAAACAATTCAGTAGATTTTCATATCAATATCTTCATAAAGATATACATGCATGAATATATGAGAGACGCAAAAATAACTTACTCTTCAATCTCAGATACACAAATATAATTAAGAAAGAGAAGTTTTATTAGGGCAATTTCACTTTATTTTTCCATACAGCAAAGTCAACTACCGCAGTAATAATAAAATAAGCATAAAACAAATTGCAGCCAAAGACAAAATACATAATTTTAAGCAACTACAAGCAGAAAGTAAGTTGTGATTACATAATAGTAAAAACCAAGCACATCTGTCCTTTCAGCAGATGAAAGTGGTAAGGTTGCTGGTAAGTGCAACATTGTGACCCAGCTGGAGTGAAGGCTGGATAGATACACTAATTCATTAAAACAAGTGCCCATTATCTTGATCACATTTGACTTTTTTTTAAGTGCTTCTGAGTTGAAAATTAAAACCATGAAATTTAATTTTTTTTTTTTTCTTCACCTGCTGAAAGAACAGGATCCTACAGCAATTAAAAAACAATCACATAACAACTACAGCTACTGTGTGCTGTTTGGTTTGCCTGTTTATGATTTAAATTTTTGAAAGTCAATACTTGTTTTGAAGATTTTGTTTTGTGAACAAGAAACCACTGAAATTGTCAGAAACAGATTTGAATAATATATGTCCTTATAGTTCTTTCTCTCTCTCTCTCTCTTTTTTTATTTTATTTTATTTTATTTTTTTTTGAAGTTTTAAACATGCAGTAGTTTTGAAAAATGTAAGGAATACTTGATCCATGATTTCATCTTAATGGTTGAAGTACCTGCTATTTTTGGTAATGATCTTCAGGCAGATTTGGCCCAATGGAGTTTTTGTCAGTCATGAGATCTTGGAAGGATGGCATATCTTTCCAGCTGAAAAAATCCTGGCAAACTACAAGCTGTCCACAAAAAGCAAAGCAACATGTTTGAAGGGGTATGGAGTGCTAACTCTGTACCACTTTTGCAAGCAATTCTGCTCAGTCTGTCATTTTATTAGCCTTAACAAAACTCCTTGTAATTATAGACGTTTTTATTCAAAATAAGATCTTACTATTATACAGGTTTCTCTCTTTTGACTATATACAGAAGTGCAAAAAGTCAACCTTCTCTCTAGACGTTCCAACATGCTAAATTGCAGCATAATCAACCCTCAAGAGTTTGCACACACGTTATAATTCTCGTTACGTAAACTTTGAGTATTTGGATTATCAACAAAAAGTCCCTTGTTCTATTTATTGATTATGCAGCTTATTTATAACAAGGCCTGATATTCAGGGATTTCAAAAATATTAAACAATACTTTAACATTTGAAATGGATACAGTAGAAAATAAATTTTATTCTAATATCTAGGATCTAGATCTTCTTATAAGAACTAATTACAAACAAAATAAATCATCAAAATATTACTCAATTGTCTGCCAGGATTGTTGCGATAGCAACAACTTAACTTTTTTTTTTACTTAGCAATGATTATATATTTATAAGATATCCATATAAAAGATCTTTGTTCTTTTAATGAAAACTAGACAAGAACTAACAATGACTGACATTCTTACACTATAATATTAAATCAGTAAAATAGAAATCATTTAGTTAACAATAATACGAATATTCATATGACACTACATGTAATTCAAAACTGAGTTATGTTATGAAGGAGAAACTACTTTAATATTTTTTTTTTTTTTTTGTATTTTGAAAAATTCATCGGTAAAATCTAATAAAACAATAGTCTATAAACTGAAATGGTATTCAATTGTTAATAGAAAATGAAAATCTAATAAATGTAGGAAATGAAAAACTACATTTTAACAAGAAAAATAAGTAATAGTCTATAATGTAACTAACTACAATAACATGTGAAGTCACCATTACTCTCTTAACACGATTGAAATTACATTGGTATGGGTTCCAACCCGTAATGTAATAATCTAAGGCTTTAATAGATGTACAGTACAATCAGTAAAATCAACACATCAGTCTTATATTAAAAAGCATCTCTCTCAAGCATAAAAACTTGCAGTAAACTTGGAAGTATGGAAAGTTCTATAACTGAACTTTCACCTCTCCCATTCCATACTATGACTACCAGTGACCTGGCTCCTACTTCAGCAATTTTTAGAACTGCTGAACAGAGCAAAAATATCCTTTACTAGCTGCAACATCCAAACCACAAAAAAAGGAATTCCTTTGGATGAATCCATTCTTAAAAACTGAGTGCACATCTATTTGTTTTTAAATTTTAAAAGGCTTTCTAAGGCTATAAGCAGTTACTCTGAACAAAACAAAACAAAACAAAACAAAAAATCACATATAAAATTCACCCATGTACTTAACCCACCCAATTACTAGGTTAATTAAACATTTCCCATTTTCATATTTTGGTTTATCATGCATCTGATGACAATGCTGCTTTCTTCTTTGTTTAGAGTCACTATTTTGAATGTGACTGTGATGAAACATTTAAGCAAACGTGAAACCATTTCTGCAAAGCATTTATAGTCTTGTGACTTTTGACAGAGGCTATAAATAGAAGCAAAATAATTTCCTCAAACATTTTTTTTTTTGTTATCGTGTCTCAGAAATGGCATATCCCTTTTCAATTATGTTATACAGTATAGTATGCATAAATATTACACTACAATGCATTAAAATAATTTTATATATATATATATATATCTATTATATATATCTCCAGTAAGTGTGAGTTTATCTGTATTGAGAGTTTGTATTGTGCTGTCTACTGTTACTGTAAAGTTAAATTTGGCCATTTCTGAGACAGCTTTGGTTTCCAAAAACAAAAACAAAAACAAGAAAGAATGGTGCCCTTTGACTGATTAGTATTAGCAAATAAGCAACAAAATGTGGCTCTGAAAACAATAACACTGAAGCAATAATACTCTAATTTGATGTACAGTCTATGGCACTTCATGAGAATCCTTAACAACATGGTACTTAAAGCCATGATGTGCTTTAAAAGATACACAGTTGTGGTTTTGCTTGGCACATTCATCTCTGTCAGATCCCTCCCTCACCACGTCTTACAATCTATTACATTAAAAATATTACTCTTAAACAAAAATGACTGTGCATGCACTCTCTCATCTATAATGGCAATTTTAAATACAAGGTGCACCTTTGTTATTTGTAAACCTTGAAAGAAATTAACTTATTTTTAAAAAATTATATCTTGGTCTACAGACGTACCAATACATTAATAGAATCATGGTTACACCATAGTCTGTCTTTTCAAGATGGCATGACTATATAGGAAATTAATTAGGTATGCATATTTAAATGCATAACTCTGTGCTAGAAAAGAAAGACAATGTTGTTCTTTTGACAGGAATTTTACCTCAGCACAAATATCAATTAAATGTACAAAGTGTATAGGCATCAGTGTGCAGTGGATTTCCTTGTTGTCTTTTCTTCTGGTTAACATGCAATATGTGGATGTCTTGTGGCTGAGGGATTTTTGTGTGTTGCTTGACGGTATATACAATATGGCTAATGACCTTGTCCTTTATTCTAACCAAGCACACTGTCCTTTCCTCTTTAGTATGATCTGCAAGGGAAAAAGAAACAATCGTCTTAAAATAAGCATTAACTAAAAGCATTTTTAAATATATATTTGTCATGAAGATTTTCTCTTTCTCGATTTAAACAGTGTGTTTGTTCATGTGTACCTCTTACCTTCATGTTAAAACAAACAAAAGCACACCATAAGAGCAAATGACTATACATGTGTTTATCTCTCTATGTGAAGGAAATATCATACATGTTTTAATGAAATCAGACATTGATCTAAAACAACTTGATGCTAAGTAAAAAAAGTAAAATTATTTGTAGAACCAAAGGGCATGATGTAGTAGGATGCTTTTTTAGCACTCATATTGAAGAAGAATTTAAAGCTGTTTTATTTCTTTTCTAAAGTTCAGTAAATTTCAAATCGTGCACTATTATTTGGACTATAAAATAAAAATTCAAATAACAATAAGTTTTATTCAACAGAGCTCACTACATTTGGGTGCTTGATTTTCACAGTATGCTGAGAAATATGAAACACATTTTGATTAATTATGCTTTGTTAGGTTTTACAATGTCTTTGTAGTTTAATAAGTTCTAGTTTCAATATGACATTTGTTTTAATCAGGGAATCTACATCTTAAATGCATGCTTTAAAATACAACCTCGAGAATGAAAGACTTCATTATTTTGCTGCACCAAAAACAAAAAAAAACAAAAAAAACCAACCAGTTTAAATATTAAAATTCCTCATGAAAGTAAGCAATCATTCCTTAAATGGACAGAACATCAAGGACCTATTCATGCTTCAGTACAGACAAATACACAGGCTTGCTAATTATTTATGAACTTATGGTCATTTGGTAACACAGTTTCAACCTTAACGGCCGCTAAGAAAAAAGAACATAATTACATAAAAATATATATACTAAATATACCTTATACTATAAATGCTTGAAACACAATTTTTAACATGTCAAGAGAAGAACTCAGAAAGTATACACTGCAAAATACTGTGCTTATTCTAAAAATATGGCCACTGATCAGAAAAATTAGCTTTCTTCTCAAGCACTGAGAAAGCTTAGAAATGGACAAAAATTAAGTTTCAGTAATATAGTTAATGTTTGCAGCATGTTTTTGCTAGAACTTCTATGAGTTAACTATCACTTCTTTTTCAAATGGCCCTTATATTCTGCCAGGGCTGTGTCTTTGTTAAAGTCTTGCTACGAATTTTAACCACAGGGTCCTCTGAACTGACTCTATGACATTCTCATTCCCTGAATTGACACACTGCCTCCTACTTCCCTACATCCCACCAACTTTTCTCCACTGCTTAAATTCACTCCTTTTCTGACTGCTGGGAATAGTTAGGTCAATATGGGGGGAAAAAAAAAATCTTAAACCTCTCTTATTTTAATATGTTATCCTGATCTTTATCTCATTCACATGGTAACTAACACATAGTAACCCCAAAACAAACTTTGGAAAATGTGTTAATGAACAAATAAATGAAGGAGAATAAACAATAAAGAATGGTCATCAATCTTATTTATAAGATTTAGTTTAAATATATTGGTTATTTCTAAATATAAATAGCACAGCATGCTTCTGAGCAATGCATGCATATATATAATAAAGTAAGTGCATGCATATTGAATAAAACAGCCACTTTTACAAGTATTTCAGAAAATATTTCTTAAGGCAAAATACAAAAAGGCTTTTAAACCATTTTGAGCCATGGCAACATTTTCAGAATTATATGATCTTCAAAGTGACCATCGGAAGTATTTAAAGTTCATTTGGATATGTAGCTATACGTATGTGTGTAAATATATATGTTGTTGTTAAGTGCCATGAAGTCGGTTTGATTCATACCAACCCTGAATAGGGTTTCCTGCGAGTAGCTGGTGAGTTTGAACTGCTAACATTGTGGTTCTAATTGACCTCACAGTTCAGTGCTTACCCTATAGCACCACACCAGGACTCCACTCATATGTATACATACGGAGTCCTGGTATAGCTCTATGGGTTAATGTGCTAGACTGCAAGGTCTGTGGTTCTAGCTCACCAGATGCTCCTAGAAAAACCTACTACACAGGGTCGCTATGAGTTGAAACTGACTCGACAGCACTTAACAACAGCAATATATATATATATATATATATATATATATATATCATTAGGGACGACAGTATGGGGTGAAGCATGTAGTGAGGTATGTACATATACTCATTTAAAAAAAAAAAGTTTGCCAACCCTTGATACTGTATTTAGATTTAAGTCATCTTTTTCTTCATGCTTGTGTTTACTTAAGTATAGAATAAAAACAAAACTAATCTTCTCTTAGTGCATTTATGTGATGTGAACATATTTATGACAAATATATGTAATAAAAATACTCATAACCCATTCAGAGTGAAAGTTTAAGTTATATAAAAATATTTTATCTGTAATTTTGGATGTTTTTCATATTCTCATTTCACACAATTGTTATCTTTAAGACAATCACCATGAATAAACAACTATATATACACAGTTAACTTACTGTTTAGTGATGAAAATTCTACATCTGGGTAACATACTTGTGGCTAGTCAGATGTTCGGCAGATATTATGGGTATCTATCAAATAAAAAAATTACTTAGTGAATGATCCATGCGAGCAAGCCAACTACTAATAGATGAACACATTTTAACATTGAATTTTTAAAGAAAAGTGAAACTCAGCTGTGAGGTGATAGTCCTTAGCTGGTCAACATACCAGTAAGTAAACTTAAATGCCAAAGTAACAACTAATTTTTTTTTATTTTTAATTTTGTGTTAAGTACTATTCTATAAATGTTACTTAGTTTTCAGGAAGTAAGAGAAGTTAAACTACCAGAAATTCATGCAGAGCAGTAATTGAAAGAAGCCCTTTTTGTTGGCCTACACACACAGACACGCATACACACCTGTAGTTTCAGTTATTTAGTAATCCAAAAATAAGAATAGGCCTGCATTTCCTATTTTGCGGAACTAATTTCTAACATTTTTGTTCAACTTTATGGGTCTAACTTTCTTCCTAAATAAAAAATTATCATGTAAGAACTAAAAAGAGAGAAGCTCCAAAGAACCATATGAGTATAAGTTACTATTAAAAGTATTTCTTAATGCTGATTACATATGCTATTCTATTTTAAAGGGGAAAGAGAATTAAAGAACTTGAAAGCAAGTGCAGTAAGAAATCAAAATAGATGTGATTTATTTCAATAGTCCTAGAAGCTACGAATGTCAAGTTGGAATAGCCCGATTCTCCTAAGACTCCAAATTAAAGGCTGCCCAGTGGGGAGAAGCAGCACAATAGAGCAAGGTTACCACAGGTCTTATCATTAGCGATGATCCATTTGCAGGCTATGTGGCTTTGAGCAAATAACTTAATTACGCTATATTTAAACATCTTCATCCTCAAAATAGCACTACTTGCATTTTAACAAGGTTGATAGGAAAATACTGAAATCACATAAACAAAGGCATTTTTGTTTGTCTGCTTTAGTTTAGAAGTCCTAGACTTATTCAATGTATTCTATACCTCATTCTGTAGTGTAAATTAATATGTCCCTATTTTATTCCCCATTTCTCAGCTGACATCTTTACACAATTTTACAGCATTGGCAACTGGCACGAAAATGTGCTCCAAGCATAATGAAGCTTCTCATACCATTTTTCCTGCTGCTGCAGGACAGGATGTTGCACCCAACAGTGTAGAAGCATCAAGGATGGGGCTGTCGAAACATACCAAGGACCTTCAACACCAATCGATGCAGATGAAGGGCCAGCTATAAACTTCTGCAAGCATGCAGGCTGCATTTTGTGGCATCAGCTATTTCCAGCATTGCTAATGTACTGTAGGCATATACATATGTATGCATATGTAGATATAATATATGTGTGTATATATATATATCCATTTCCTTTTCCTTCTTTTGATTATAAAACAGTATGAAGACCCAAGATTATGCATGAAATGGTCACAGCACAATGCAAGAAGTAAAGTGTCCCCTACAACCCAGATGGCCAAGGGCATGTTGAAACTTGCTTTGCTATAGTTCTGCTTACACCAGCAATTCTATAGTCACACATGGTACATACAAGAGAGTTCAGCATCACTGATCTGCACCATAAATGGATTGCATTAAACACATTAAGAATTTCTGCCATAGATTACTTACCAATATGCCACATATGCACAATCTAAAATTCTTGTAAATGAGTCTGATGTTTTAGTGTAAATCCAGGGCTATTTTGACAAGCTACTGAAAAATGAATGATTCTCTGCCAAGAAATGTTTAAAGCTTGTCTGAAACTCTAAAATAAGTGCATTTTGTCTACTGCTTTTGAAGGTTTCTAATGACTCTATTAAGGAGTCCTGGTGGTTCAGGCCCACCAGACACTCCTCAGAAACCCTATAGAGCGTTGCAACAAGTAGGAGTCTGCTCATTGGCACTTAACAACAATAACATTCTTTGTTAACAGTGCATGGTATATTATAGAAACAAAGGTAGCTAGTTCAACTCATATCAATAACTAAATTCAGATGTCTTTTTTTGGTCTTCTCTTTCCAAGGAGCAAAATGTTAGTTCCCTTCTGATACTGGCTCCTTTGAGATGCATTTGGCTACATGTTATCTTAGTCTGTATATTAACCTGAAACAAAGTTATGCTCTAAAGTTTGTCATAGCTTATTAATCTTATGGAATTTTACTTTCATAAGTATAGCTACATATTCAAGCCAAAACCTACTTGCACAAATAACTAATTTTGATTCAGCCAGCATTTTCTGAAACTTATTTTAAATAAAATAGTAATTTAATCAGAGTCAATTTTTAATATTTTAAATAGTCACTAAATTTTTTAAACGGTCACTCTTGTACATCCTGAAATTAAAATTTTGGAACCAGGCTCCTTTTAAAGTGTTTTGCATAACTGGTACCAATATGGCACTGTAGGGGTAAGCACTGGACCACAAGGTCGGCAGTACAACACACAAGTCGCTCCTCGGAAACTCTTTACAGGGTTGCTGTGAATTGGAACCAAATTGATGGCACGTAACAACAACAAACTATTATGGAATAGATTATCAATTTACAACATCTGACTAACTCTTTTCTTCAAAATCTGCAACACTGATTCAGGGTAATTGTAGACAAAGAATACTTAGGAATTTTTCTCAAAGCCTTAAGAATCAAAGCTTTTAGACGCTGTACAAAAAGTTTATTTGGAATTTGTAAAATGTCTATCCAAACTAATATGATATTGTGCAAGGAACTCGATTTACAAGAGTGGTCATCTGTGGCATATGTAATAAATATATTTCTTCTTATTAAGAATTTAGGTGAGAACTGAGACATTTTTGTACCAAATTGTTTGTTTATAATACAAACCTTTTAATTGCCTACATTTTTGATTGCTCAAAATAACTACATGATTGGTTGAGACAAAATGAGAATTGCTAGTGTAAATATCATTTTAGTAGCTTCAGAAATGGAGCTGCGACAACTTTGGAGCACTAATAAATGGCATAAAAGCATTCTGCTGCTCATCATAGAAAGAATGTGTAGGCCAACAAGAGGTATCTTTGAAACCCCATGCTTATTAAAGCACCCTCCACAGCCCTCACGTACACGATTCCCACTGACCTCAATGGGCAATCCACGTGCGTAAGGGCTATTGGATTGAGCCCTATTAGAATTGGATTTTAAGAAACAAAGCTGTAAATTAGCAAACCTGGTTGGCTGTGGCTGTTGCAGCGAAGGGAACACTTGTGGCAGATGTTGTTGCTGCGGACACAGTGGCTGGCGTAGCACCGTGCACCATGGGAACTTTCGGAGGGAAAATCATATAAGCAAACATACAGAAGAGTGTAGCAATATGGAAACCATGGCAACATGGAATAGATAATTGGGCATGGTATTTATCACAGCAATAAGCCATGTGACGGGACATCATCACCAGCGAGTGACATGCAATCGCAGCGCAAAGCAGGACAACATTCCAAGGAGAGAAGGGGAGAGGGATGAAAGAGAAAAAAAAAAGGGGGGGGGAGGAAAAGCTTGTTACCATCAAATCAAGAAAATTGACACAAACAGGCTTAATTTGCTATATCAACAAGATTTTACATAATGTTCATAGTCAGACAATCAAAATCTAAGTGAAAATAACAAGTATTTACTTCATATATGTATTTATCTATTTGAAAGTATATTTATTATTTACAATTATAAAAATAAACAGTTTATTACTTTATGAGATAGATTTTTTTTTTTAACACATCAAAACTCATAGTCCAATCAAAATCCACCTGAGGTGACAAAAGAAAACTGTTGTGTGTAAAGGAAACATTTATGTGAGTCCATGTCAATTAAATAGAAAATGACATTTAATTGACAGGTGTTAGTAAAAGGGGAATGGACTTGCCCAATAGATACAAGTTAAACTTAGCAGTGGATTTTGAGGGGCTGTGAGGTGCACCACAGGTTTAAGATAATCAAGAAACAAAGCTGGCACCTACCAACACTTGTAGCGGGTGTCATGCACAATATTGAGCCTGCCCATCATGCATTGCAACAGGAAGGTGGATTTGAAAGGGAAAAGAATTAAAACATCCCATCACACGTGTAATTAGGAAATTCATTTGAACAAAGAAGAAAAATTGTTATTATGGGAACAGTGGCATGTAACTGTCAGCACAATCAAATCATACAATAGCACAGTGATCAATCAGAACTAGTCTCAAGTGAAGAATAAAAGCCAGTTTAACTGTGTGCTGGTACACTTTCTTTTCCTTAATTGCTGCCTATAAATAAAAGTATTTTGGGGAAAAAATTTTCACCCTCTTAATTCTTTTTAAAATAGCATTTTAAGTTATTTTGGTTTTAATCTAGTTACTAACCATCTGGCTGCTTTGTTCTTTCTGACTTCAACATATTAAAATATTAACTTTTTCTACAGACTAAATGCATTCTAAGTAATTAGAAATATTATTTATTATTAAAATGCTAAATAACTCAATGTACAAAACTGACTTAATAATAAAATTTAAACATTCACTTTCATTCTTTGGTTTTAGTTCCCTGTTCAATGTAACTGTACCCATATGGATGTGGAGGTGGTAATGATCACCCACATAAGAAATGTTCTCAGGGAGGAGTACCAAGCAATACTTATGTATTAGGCATAAAAAGAGAGCACTGCCTCTGCACTTCTTTAGTCTGGAATTTAAATGTAGGCAAAACATTTAGAGAGGATATAAGTTCTTGTAAGATCCAAACTGATTTACATTATAAGTATCTGGGAAAGTGAAATGGTTTTTGTTGCTGCTTTAAACTTTTAGGACTTCTTGGAATAGGAAATGTTCTACAAAAACTTACAAAACAATTGACCAATTAGACTTTTATTAAAACCCTGAGTGGGAGATAATAAAATTACATGAGTCACAGATGAGGTGTTAGCAATGGTATTTACAATGTTTTGACCATTATGTTGTTGTTAAGTGCCGTTGAGTCGGTTCCGACTCATAGCGACCGTGTATATGCTTTCCGAGGAGCAAGTGGTGAGCTTGTACCTCCAACCTTGTGGTTCAAATTGACCTTGCAGTCCAGCGCATTAACCCACAGCGCCACACCAGGACTCCTTGACCATGATAAGTAACAATCAAATTATATATGTAATGTTACTGTTTCCTTTGGCATGTAAATATTGGAAAACCGAGTTTCTTTTACTAAATATAGATTATTTATACAGGCTCACCACTGAACCTTGATCTCATATGCAGACTACTGCTCCTTCTACAAGATTATTTTAAGCTTCTAGGTTTTACAATATCAAATTTATTGTTGTTGTTAAATTTCAATCATAATCTTGGCACAGTCTATTTAAATTATAGCAGCATCTGGGATGAACATTGGCTAGAAGAGTACCAACTGAGCCTTGTCATTGATGGCCCTACAAAACACATATCTGCCATTGAGAAACACAGATTACTTAGCTGGAATCCCTGTATAGCTGCAATTAGTCTGTTATCACAATTAGATGGGGTGTGGGGGTGGGGGGACACAATGATTGGTGATTACACATGGTAATGAAGCTAGGGAAGCACCCTCCCAGGTTGGGTAACATTACATTGAAAGGCATTGTTTAGGACACTTGAAGATCTATGTAATTTGCTACTACTACTGAGTCAAAGGAGCTGTGATAGCATAGTGGTTATGAATCGGGCTGTGAACCTTAAGGTCAGCGGTTCGAAACTACCAGCCGCTCCATGGGAGAAAGATGAGGCTTTCTGCTCCCGTAAAGATTTACAGCCTTGGAAACCCTGTACGGGGTCGCTATGGGTCGGTACCGACTCGACGGCACTTAACAACAACAACTGAGTCAAAGACCTTGAGAAAGACAACAAAACAATAAACTAATAAAAACAAAGAAGTTAATTTGAGACAGTAGAGCAACAAAATTTAATACTGGATGTGGTCAGTGAAACCATTTTCCTTCCAATGATAACAGTAGGATGTTTGGGGAAGAGATGATGAAAAGAAGAATGAAAAAAATTATGTGGTTTTCAAAGGCTAGTAAAGTCAGTTGATACATTGTACAGATTATATGCTTTTGTTTTCTTATTTATATTAAAGGAACCCTCGTGGTGACGTGGCTAAGCACTAGCTGCTAACCAAAAGTTGGAACCCACCAGCCCTTCCTTGGTAGGAAGATGTGGCAGTCTGCTTTCATTAAGATTTACAGTCTTGGAAACTATGGGGCAATTCTATTTTGTCCTATAGGGTCACTCAGAGTTGGAATTGACTGGAAGGCAACGTGTTGTTACCATGCTATAATTTGCCTATTGTATTTCATCCCATGCATAATTAAGCCTGCACATGCTAAAAATGAGTTAACCTTATCCTATCTAAAACTATAAAGCTTTTATGATTTGTATTTTAGTTTGAGTTATCTTTCTCATTAACATTATAACCAATGCACACAGTTTTGAGAGGGATTTGCAGCAAATAAACATAAGGCAGCAATGAAAATACTAGCCAGGGTGCAATAACTCACAAATATGAAGACATAATGCTGTAGGACCCACTTACCAAAAACCAAAATCACTTTTGAATGACTGTAATATACATGCTTACTTCAAATGGGTTGATTTACTAATAACCATGCACAAATAGTCAATTTTTTTTTTCCCTGATTTTCAGCATGAGGAAAAATTTAAGTGGATGTATTTTTCAATTTCAAATTTCCTCAGAACAGTATGCTCCTGAAGAATGTTTTAATTACATGAGTTTTTAAATTAAATTTTATAATTGATCTTTTGAATGAAGATGCAAGGGAAACAACTAGGATGGTGATTTTAAAATGAGATGTATATATAATTAAAAATTACTTCAAGGGGAAGGAAGAGGTAGAAGACAAAGAATTTTAATGGAGATGTAGTGGGGAGTTAGGATTTAGATATAATTCAGGTCTATTTGTGTTTTTTATATGTTAAGAAATACAAAGGTGATTTAAGTTCTCTAAAAGTTAATTTACATCATTTTAGGACTAAAAATTCATGACCAATCGAATTTTCTCCCAAAATGGATTTCATAAAAACAACAACTTCATATCCTATTTCAATCTTTTGCATTCTATTTTAATGCACTATTGAAGTTAAGACATTAAACTTGCTTACTAATTTCAGGCATCATTTTAAACTCTTAGATTTGTAAAAGTGCTTTATTAGAATGTCCTATCAATGGAATGTTTAAAACACATTTAAACAAAACTAAGAAACAAAAGTTATAGAAAGGAAGAGCTGGATTTCAAACTCAGCTCTTTGAATTTGCAAAATTAATTGTGAGTAACTTATGGTGTTACTCTGTCATGCAGCCTGACTCATGGCTTCCCCATGCACGATGGGATTAAACTGTTGTGATCCACAGCGTTTCCACTAGCTGATTTTTAAAAAATAGGTCTCTTTTCCTAGCCTATCTTAGTCTAGGAGCTCTGCTGAAACTTATTCAGCATTAAAGTTGTTGTTGTTAAATGCCACAGAGTCAGTTCTGACTCATCGTGACCCTGTATAGGATTTCCAAGAAGCAGCAGGTGGGTTTGAACCGCTGTCCTTGAGGGTAGCAGTCCAAGGCTTATCTTACTGTGTGCCACACCAAGGTTCCTTTCAGTATTACAGTAACAAGCAAGTCCGCTGACTGGTGAGTTATGGCTGTGTGAGAGGTGAACTGGCCAGAAACTGAACTTGGATCTCTTGAAACATGGAAAGTGAGAATTCTACCACTTAACCTCTACTGCCTGGGTAGCCACTACACTAGATCGAGTAAACCCGCTTCATTAATTTCACTAATTAAAAAAAAAAATATATATATATATATATATTTTATATATATATTTTAATATAATATAATAAAAAATTATATATATATATATATATATATAAAATTACTTGAAATCTTTGTTTGTTCTTTTGGTCAAAACAACTCCTGACCCCCAAATGTCACCACCCTAACAAAACAAAACAAAACAAAGCAAAACAAAACCACCTTGGGATTTCTGTCCCTGATTTCTAATACAGCTGTGAAATTGTTTAAAGTAAACTTAACTTTAAGTCTTTTAAAATAATAAGCCTATAGTGATTGAGGGCAAAATGCTAGTGGGGGAAGACAGGTAGGCAAATGGGGGGATCCTCCAAGATTCTGAGTGGTGGGCAGTCTGCAGGTTCCAAGAGTAGTTGAAGCATGTGAGACCAGTGGTGACCAGTCTTAGGCTATCATGTCTGTGCCCACAGAAGCCCAGAGTCCCTGCCTTCAAGAGACCTTATAGGCATGTTGAGAATGGGGTTCCTTATTTATACTTGACAATCCCAGTGATGTTTGCTATTTCTATCCAACACAGCAAGATTAGAGTTTAAAATTGGACTTAATTTTTAAATTCAAGGAAATGAACTGATGTAAATAAAAGTGTTAATCCTTACATACTATAATTTCAGGGGAGAAATTCATACTGACAAGTAGGCCTTAGACTATGTATAACTGGTATGAATAACTAATCTCGTTCTAAAGGGTAGAGCTAGTTGTTTTAAAAATCAATGAGTCTCTAGCCTAATACTTTTATTTATCATTATCTGATATAGAGGGTACAAAACATGACAGCTGGAGTTAAGGGACTAGTAACTGCTGATAATATTCTCTCAAGTCCTTCTTTAGGTCTTCATGTACAGACCTCATAGGAATTGCAAGACTAAAATTTGTCTGACCCGAGTTTAAGTTCAAGCTGTATCTTAGCAACTGAGACACATAGCTGGACGTCTGTAGGCCCCAAATTACTGATTGGTAAAGTGGGAGCATGAAAGCCAGTCTTTTGGGGTTGTTGTGAGAAAAAATGACAAAATGTATATAAAGACCGTAGTGTTGCATGACATACATCAAAAAAAAAGTAGTTATTTTGAGCAAAAACATTTGAAATGGCTTGGTCTAAAGCAATAGGGAGTTGTGGAGTTTGGAACAGGAGAGTGTGTACACTGTTATATGATTTACATTTAGTTTTTATATGAACACTCTTGAGAAAAGTATTTCTGGAAACCAAATTTAGTCCTTTGGAAATCCCTAGTATAAATACTGGTACACTATGTGAAGTTCTGGTGTGGCACTGTGAGTTAATGCGCTGAACTGCAAAGTCATTTGAACTGCAAGGTCAGCGGTTCAAGCTCACCAACTGCTTCGTGGAAACCCTACACAGGGTCATTACCAGTCAGAACCAACTCGACGGCACTTAACAACAACAACAACATGTAACATACAACAAATGTTTGTTGACTAACTGAATAAAAGGTAAATGAATAGATGTATAGATGCAACCCAAGTCCGATTCTCTTTATAAAATTAATTTTGTTGTTGTTAAGTGCTGTTGAGTCGGATCTGACTCATAATGACCCTGCATAGGGTTTCCAAGGCGTGGCTAGTGAGTTTGAACCACTGACCTTGCAGTTCAAACCAATCTTATCCTACGGTGCTTATCCTACAGTGCCACATCAGGACTACTTATATAGAATACCATAATTTGTCTTACCTGGTTCACCACTGAACCCTGATCTTCTGTCAACAACCTAGTCTGTATACCTAGTCAATTTCTCTGAGGATTTTGTTAATCATGTTTTACTGTATAAGCCACTAAAGTAAATGAAATCGGCCTATCTATCCCTGAAGTTCCGTGTCCATGAATAGCGCAACTTGACTACTAATCAAAAGGCTGATAGTTTGGGCGCTGGCACTATAGGATCAGCACTGGACTGCTAACCATAAGGTGAGCAGAGTAGTTCAACCCCCACCAGCTGCTCCTCAAAAACCCCATACAGGATCGCTATGAGTCAGAACTGACTCAACAGTACTTAACAGCAAAAACTTCTGGAAAGTCAACCATTGAAAACCCTAGAGAGCACAGTTCTACTCTGACACACATGGGGTCATCCTGAGTTGGAATCAATTCTAAGGCAACTTATTTTAATTTTTGTTGTTGTTGTTGTTCCCTGACGTTATTATTAAAGCAACAGAGCACATAGCTCTAAAATCTTAAGCTATGAAAAACAACTGACTTCCATTTTCTTAAAAGCTCCCTTTATTAAAAATCTCCAAAATTATTATCATATGGTTAGGTGGAGTGCTCTGATCTTATTAAGATGTGTACGCTCTGATCTGTATTATTTATTTGCAGAGTAATCCAACTTTGGATAATCAACTTCCTTTTCTCCCAGGTATTATGAATGAGATTAGTTATGAATTTGCGGCAAGATGGATTTTCTTTCATTCTACAAAGGGTTTTTTGTTTTTGTTTTAATTGAACTACTTTTCCAAACTTAAAAATTGGGGGATTTCACATATAAACATCCAAATGTCTAAACTATCTTAGGGCAGGGAGAGAACCTGATGATCTGACAACAGACGACAGGGATATACAGTCAAACCTGAAATGCATCATTCAGACACACTATGTTGAAAATGCAGCTGCAAAGGGAGAACAGTGCGTAACATGTTTAACTTGTGAGGCAGATATTCCTCTGAGGCAACAAAAGTCTGAGGATGAACATTGACCATCCCCTTTAGACCGGGCCTGTGCTCCCCAGTGCCTCCCAGACCCCACAGCTCCCAATTTATTTCTTGCTTCACTTGTTTATGTTTCTTGCTTGGCCCTTGAGGTATCTGAGTTTATACTCTGCATCAGACTTCTATCCTTTCTAGCTGTCTGGCAAAATGGTTAGGCAGATGTAAAGGTGGGCTATACATTTTAATCTTTAAGGACATTGGGTGTTTTGTTTTGTTTTTGGTGCACACATATATATACTATATAAAAGTAATTTTATTACTAAATGCCATTTTAGGGAGAATATAATATCATAAAAAAAGGATTATCAACATCATGCAATTAACAATTAGCCTTCTTGAGAAAAGATCATATTCATCTGAATGTTGGAGAAACTAGTGCAAAATTGTTTGATAAGATTATTTTAGGTTTCCTTAAATATATGGAAGAAGATAGATATGTTTTTGATTTTTTTAAAATAGGGAAGTTGCCATTTATAATAGTTAACATTTTATTCACTGAAATAAACTGACAAAAATCATTTACTATTTATTCAAAGAGTTTAGGGAAATCTTTTGAAATTTTGTCTAATGATCTAACTACAGAAAAATCGATGACCTGTTTGTTGGAGAAACTTAATTTCTAGGTATCTCTGAATAACTATGCATATTTACCAAAATAGCTACAACATTATAAAACATAAAAAAATGTGAATTTTTCCCTTCAAAGACAAAAAATTTACTAGCAGATCAAAATGATTTAGTATTTTTTCTAATATGAACAAGTTTCAACTTGATATTGTTTCATGCATTCAAGTATTTTATCGAGTGTAACTATGCTATTCTGACCAGTAGCATATTTTAATAAAATTTTATTACATTTTTTATATATGGACAGTCAGTTTTAAAATACGTTTTGTAAATCACTAAGTTTAGTAGTAAAACCTCATATGAATACAATTTAATCACTGTTCATGAAAATTAGTTATACAAGTACCTAATATATATTGAATACTCTCAAAATAGTATAACATAGTCGTAGGAGCTAGAAATTTAGCACACACACTGAGTCATTAACTTACTAATTGATTAATGAAAATAAAATTAATTTATTAACTACATCTCTGTACCCACAGTATTTTTTATAGAAATTACACAGAAATTGGGTGTAGTGTTTCTAGTGAGGTGAATTTTAGATTAAAAGGAGTTTAATATGTGTTTCTTGAAATAAAATCAGAGTGAGTAAAAACAATAAATACCCATATATGTAAATGACTAGTTTTTCTGCGTTTTTCAATTTTAAATCCTTGTGAATAGTACTAGAGTATGTTTATGTGACTAAATTGAATAACACCGAAACCAAAAATTGATAACAAAAATATAATCAGATCTGGGTACTTGGAACAATTTCAATAATAAGTTTAGGAGCAATAAAATTTCAAACAATAGTACATATCAGAGCATTCAGTAAGAGCTCTAGAATACATAGTCAGTTTTTTTTATTCTCCACCTTGAAAACCAAAAGGCTGAAAAATAAAAATCAAACTGAAAGTGTGTTTTCATATATTTCAAATGAGCTCTATTGAATTGTAAAGGCAAAGGGGTCTTACAGCAGGAAAGTATCATAAAATAGCTTGACAGACATAGAACAGTGTTGAGGAAAAAGGAAAAAAAAAGAGAGAGAGAGAGAAAGAGAGAGAGAGAGAAGAGAAGTGTATTTCAATTCCAAATTACACAAATAAATATAAAAACACCACTGATCTCTCAGTCCTTGTCATTATACTAGAAACTTCTTAGCTTTTAAGCAAAACTGAGATACTTCACAAAAATTCCCACTGCTGACCAGCTTACCTTACATGGTATCTAAGACTAAGCATTAATCTGGGGTATGGCTTATCTGTGCTACCAGCAGAGCTCTATATCAATTGTCAGATGCATTTAATAATAAACCCAAACTCCTTACCTGGTGGGAGAAATGCTGTATGCTGTTGTAACTGCATGTTGGCTAGAGCCTGTTGGTATTGGAAAATACCAGTGTTAAAGACTGCGGTGGCACCGTTGGTTTTTTCAAGAGCAGGCCTCTTTGGTAATGGGGGAAGTACAGCTTGAGGAATTCCCTGTTTAGTGAATGAGTATAAAAAACAAATACCAGTAAAAAGAGAAAAAGAAAAAAGAAAAATCAGTTGAAGGCTAAAATTGTTAGGAAGCATGAGCAAGCAAGCAGCAGAGCACTTAACTATCCAAGGAGGGGTTAAATCCAATAAACAAAATTAAAGGAAAAAATAAGCAAGATAAAAGCTTTGAGAGAAGCATTATTATTTTTTGTTTTCCAAAACAAATCCCCACTAGTATGAGAGCACATGTTATAATGTGTTAAAGTGTTTTAAGTCCCATAATGCTTCAGGCTTTCTGTGAAAAGCCATTGATTTGGGAAAAAAAGACAAGCTGCACTGCACGTTCCATGAGGATCGACAAGGATAAGCAACGTTAATAGTTAATTATACAGAGTGACTGAAACAGATAAAATAGAAATTAATCCCACTCTACTCCTCCCTCCAGATCTATTTAGACATGCAAATGTCCCAAAATGTCCCAGAGCATGCACGTTTTTTTTCCCTTCTATACAGAATTATAAATATTAAAACATAAATAATTCTATCTCTAAAGCCATGCTAACCAAACAGGTACATAACTATACAGTCAAAAATACACTTTTAATGTCCTCCAAGTATTTCATTAGAACATTCTACAATGTAGTTAAACTGAATGTGGGCTGCTGGGCTTTTGGAATCTTTCACTATATGATATCCATTTATGTACTTGTATTATATAGTCTTTCTACTAATTTTGTCAGGAAACCACACTCAGTTTTCCATTGTACTTTACAACTTTATAAAAGGAAAAGGAATATATATATTATAAAATCAATAAAAAACAAAAACGGAAAAAAAAAAAACAAACTTGTATCTACAATAAAGCTACATGCCAAGCTAAAAGGTGAAAGGTCATAGTACCAGGTCAAAGGTTGCCTCGAGGGGTCGCTTCAGTGATTTGACAGCCGACTGAGTCTTAATTAGCAGGCAGCGAGCACATGATGGCAATGGGCCAGTGGGGTTCAAGCGCATTAACATAAACAGCAAGCAGAGGTGCATCATGGGGGCAGCAGTGCATTTTTGGGTAGGTGAGAAAAAACAAATAAAAAAACAAATCATCGGAATGCCATATACAACGAATAACAAGACTAAGCATGCACAATAAAGGCACTACTGAGTTGTTATTGGGAGGATAACTCCTCTTTGTAGTTAATTACAAACAAGATACTCTAACAGAAAAAAAAGGAGTGGAAGGGAAAGTAGAGAGAGTCTGCCTTCTGTATTTTTGCTCAAGTATCCATAACCAAACACAGAAAAGACCTCTCTCACAATTGTTTTACTGTGCTATGAAATAACTACACAGTAATGATTTTATGAATATTTTCATGATTAAGTCATGTGTTTATGTAAAAAAGGACAACATTAAAACAGCTAAGCAAAGAACAAAGAATGGGCTCATTAAAATTTACCTTAAGAATATAGTTCAGCACCTATTCTTAATGATCCAGTTTCTAACTCCTTGACTACTGCTGTCTTTGTACTATGTATATAATGGCATAGTCAAACTCCTATAGTTTTACAGTTAAGTTTATGCCAAATTATTCAAGATAATCTAGGTAGCAGTGTTCAAAATCTCATAGCTAATGCTAAAAACAATTTTGCTGAAGCAATTCGCCTAAATAGTTTCAGATTATGTTATTGTTAAAAGCAAGATATATGTAGAGAAGAGTCTTGATGTGCAAAAGAACACACCGAAGGATAATGGCTGATTAGATGGCACACAGAAATAAGAAGACTGAAAATGGCAATATTGTTAAATTGAAAAGGGGACAGGTGGTTCTTTACAAAAGCAGAAACTTCAGAAACCCTACATCCAGAATAAGACAGAGTATTAGGAGTTAGGCCACGGGAAGGAGCAATCTGAACCATTTGAGGAGTTACCCTCATTTCTGTGAGTGGTAACTTCTTTATGAATTGTCTGGGATACCTGAACAAACATATCTTTAGCAAAAAAAAAACCAAAAAAATAAAAACGTTAATAAACGAATAGCATGTGGTCAGATATAGTTGTTCACGTTGCTCTTCTGACTGCTAACAAGGAGAGAGTGAGCTGCTATCTCTACTCACCATGGCAGCTGCGGTGGCTGCAGCCTGTGCCGCTGCAGCTTGGTTGACCTGGTATTGGGCAGCCTTAATCTTGGCTTGCAGATGTGCGGGAGGATGAAAGTATTTGCACTTTTCCCGAGAGCATCTCCCTTTGATGTAATCCATACACACAGTGACTGTGTTGTCATTGGTGTCAATCATTGTGCTGTCAGCAGGATGAGCAAATCGACAATCGTTTTCTCCTCTGTTGCAATTGCCACGCTGGTACTCTCGACAAACCTGCGAGGTCATTAAGTGCAAGAGGTTCAGTCAACATGGACATGCAGATCCTCTCGGAAGATAGTAACTTACAATGCAAAAGAAGGATTAGAGGGTTATAGACGAAAGGAACAGAGAGAATTCACAAAGAAAGCACAACATACTTGGAGCAACAGTCTCAGTTTAGTGTACAAATTATAACCCCATTTCAGTGAGATGCCCAGAGGAAAGAAAACGCATTTGTAACATCAATTATGGCAAAGCATCTCATCTAGAATTGTATTGACATGTCAAAGAAAAAACAGTACGTTTACAATGAAGAAACCTGGCAGGCACCCTTGTAACTCTGTGATCAAAGTTAACATCAGCTGTAATGAGTTGTAATGACATCATGTATACAACTTGATATGTTACACTGACAAGGGCACACATCACTGCAGTGGTATTACTCCTGAAAATCCATAACCTAAATTTAATAGTGAGGCAGCACCAGACAAACCAAGACAAAAAATGTTTTAAAAATAACTGATCAGTACTTTTCCCAAGTGTCAAGGTCATGGAAAACAAAGACAGACTAGGACTTTGTCACAGGCTGGAGGAGACTAAGTGCATTGTGGATCCTGGACCAGAGAAAGAATAATGGACACATAGAATTAATGTCGGGAGATTAGTTAACAGCATTATATCAATGATAATTTTCTGATTTTTGTAACTGATATTATGGCCATATAATGTTAATATGTAGGAAAATTGGGTGACGGATGAAGGAACTCTTGGTTCTATTTCTGAAAGTGTTTTAAAAGTCTGAAATGATTATAAATAGAATTTTGTGGTTTTTTACTAAAATATTTCCAGGAGCTTTGTTTTGGTCATTAAAAGATTCACCTAGAAAAATACATGAGACAGAAGTAAATAGACTGACTTTTCTTCTTTTACGTCTGGTTTAGATCTGTTTAATTCCCATGGGGACCCGCAGGATACGCTTAAAGTGGATTCTTTCTCATTCATCTGCTCCACGTAGTCTGACTCTTACTGTTTGTTTATCATTGTGCCTGTTCACAGGCTGTTCTTAGCATGGTCTTTATTTTGGATCCTTTCTTAGTTTTTTACCACAAGAGGGCCATCTAAAACATAGAATGTTCTTCTAGTAGTTCTGGTTCCCTACTTCTACTTCCAGGAAACCATTTTTATTTTTCCAAGTACTTTTTCACAAACTGGGAAAAGAGAGACACTAAGTACTTTAATGTGGAGAGTTAAGCAAGAAAGACAAATGCTAACCATTATTATTTAAAATGCAAAGGTTACTAAATTTGTGTAAAGAAATTGACATTTAAATCTTGGTTGTTTTTCTCCAAGATTTTCAAATCCCATTATGGAGGAAAGAGGCTCCTAAAATGAGCTCTACCATTTAGAACATGCTACACTTTAAATGATAAGTTGCACTATTTGGAAACCTCGGGCTTGCTAAGGTTCTTATTTGACTACATGCATAGCAATGAGCCAGCACCATTCATCACTTCATTAAATTTAATTTAAAAATATATAAATTGAATAACTATTATTTACTGGACATTCTGGACCTGGGATGGCGCTGTAGGATAAGCACTGGACTGCTAACCACAAGGTCAGTGGTTCAAATACAACAGCTGCTCCTTGGAAACCCTATACGGGGACGCTATAAGTTGGAACTGACTCTAGGGCATTTAACAACAGGATATTTTGAGAAATGCTTAAGAGTACAAACATGACTTAGGTACCCTAAACCAAAAATTCACAAACACTGAGTTGATTCTCACTGTGACCCTGTAAGAGGTTTACGAGGAGCATTTGGTGAGTTTGAACCAACAACCTTGCTGTTTGCTTGTCTTAGAGTACCACACCAGGGGTGATGGTGGTTATGTGCCGTGAAGTCGGTTCCGACTCATAGCGACCCTGTATGGGGTTTCCAAGGCTGTAAATCTTTACGGGAGCAGAAAGTCTTATCTTTATCTTGTAGAACAGTTGGTAGTTTCAAAGTGCTGAGGTCAGCAGCCTGATTCGTAACCACTATGCTACCAGAGCTCCTTACACCGGGGTAGTAATATTTATTACTGCATTTATTTATCTTGAACAGAAGAAAATAAGTTAGTCAGGAATTTATATTTTGAAAAGCAAAGTGGACCAAGGTATTGCCCAGAACAAGTCTTCTACCCTCTGGATGAGAATCAGAATCAGATGTGGAGTTTTTCTTAACATGGATTCTCAGACCCAAACTAAAATGTATGAAATCAGACTCATGAATATAGACAGAAAGAGAGACCCACCTATATCAATCAAGAATAAATCCACATACACACACGTGTATATTACACTAGGACATTAACAAAAAAACTACTTTTTGCTTAAGCTAATCTGTCAGTGCAGTCTCATCCAATAGGAAACAAGCCCAGGGTCTAAAAGTCACTACCGCTACTAGCTTTTCAGAGAAAAGATCCTGCTTTTTAAGCATCTGCTCACAAAGGATCTAGCAGTAGGTGAATAAAGAAAGCTCTTTTTAGGAAACGATTATCATACTCTCTGCCACAATGAAAAGATAGAAGATCTAAAGTCAGACTATGAACTTGTAGGTTCTTTATTGTTGTTGTTAAGTGCCATAGTTTCTTAAACAATGATTAAAATCACATTATTTGTTCTTATTGCAAAAACAAAGCAAAACAAACCATTTAGAGGTCAGTGTTGATTACAGAATCTTGGGCTTCATTCTCCCAAAATACAGTCAGCATACGTAGACCTTGATTTTTCATTTTTCTATCTCAGTATTATTTTCAGTAGTAGGAATTTAAATTTTGGTTGCATAAAATATTCAATGTAAGACACATTCTTATTCCCTCTCTCCACTTACTGAGTGTGTGTTGCATTAACTAAGAGCATTGAGCTTATTATAATTTTATGTTAATTATATAGTATAAATGATTAATGTGCTTGGCTACTAACTGAAAAGATGGAGGTTTGAATCCACCTCAGAAGAAAGGCCTGAAGATCTACCTATTAAAAAACAGGCACCCAAAACTTTATGGTATACCATTGTCCTCTGATACACATGAAGTCTCCATGAGTTGGAGTTAACTAATGGCAACTAGTACTGGCTATGTTGTTGTGGGAAGTATTAAAGAATCCTAACAATATTTAAGAAAAGTTTATAACTAAGTACTGGGTAAGAACTTGTCCCCAAACCAGATTTCAAAGAGTTTAACTCCTTTTGCATATTTGATTTTACCTGTTTAGCAATTTTATTTTTCTCCAGCTTAATGCTTCTCCTCATAAAAACAAACAAAAGTTTCAAAAGAAGTATAAGAAATATACTAAAATACCTGCTTGAACATTATTCTCATACTTGTTATACTTAAAGAAAATGTCTCATCAATAAACTTGCACCAATAAAGACTATAGGCCAGGAGACTATAAAAGTCTGGTAAGCATTAGATGTGCAACTAAATTGTTGAGTACCCACTTTCTGTGGAGTCAATTCCAAGTCACAAGAACCCTATAGGACAGAATAGAATTGTCAGGTACCTAGCCCCAAGCTTTGAAACACTAAAGACAAAAAACAAAAAAAATTCAACTTAGTCTTCAAGTCAATTATAACTCATGGAGACCCCACGTGTGGGCAAACAGAACTGCCCTCCATAGGATGGGCTCTTTCAGAAACAGATCACCAGGTATTTTGTGGGTGGGTCTGAAACACTGATTTTTCAGCTAACCACTTGTCCCACTCAGGGACTCCATTTATGGGATACAGTTTTCCCTATGTTGTTATTAAGTGCCTTTGCATCAGTTCTGACTCATAGTGACCCTGTATAGGGTTTCTGAGGAGCAGCTGCTGATCAGTAGGTCCAGTGCTGATCTTATAGCACCACATTAGGAGTCCCTCACCATCAATAAATTGGATCAATTTTTTGACTGCTGAATATGGGTTTTGACTGTGTCTTAGATAAACTCAAGAAAACTTTACTTTATCTGATCCTCCCAAAACAACTCTTAGATGTAGTTTAAAGTTGAATCAGAATCAACTTGGTGGGTAATCAAAATTGACAAACAGAATTCTGAACAAATTTAATTTCATGATTCAGATCAGGAAAATTATTTAGAACACAAAAGTGAAATTAAATTACCTTCAATTTGCAATCCCAACATTATATTGTTATTTTTTCTATTTCATCTATTCCTCTAGATGAATGCACTTTCAAATAATTTTAACTATAGTGTGGAGTCCTGGTGGGATGTCGTAGGATAAACACTTGACCTTAAGATGTTTGAACCACAAGGTCAGTGGTTCAATCTCACCAGTCACTCCTTGGAAACCCTATACAGGGTCGCTAGGAGTCAGATCCACTTTTAACAACAATAGTATAGCTACTAGATGGTGGCCTTTTCTGTTCAACACTATAAACATTTTCTCATTTTGTTACATAGTGCCCACAGTAATTCGCTTTTGATAATGGCATTAAATTTCATCAAATTGTTGTTGTTAAGTGCCCTCAAGTTGGTTCTAACTCATAGGAACCCTGTACAGGGTTTTGGAGGAGTGATTGTGGAGTCTGAACAGAAGACTTTGTGGTTCAAACCAACCTTGTGGTCCAGTGTTTTATACCACAGTGCTCCACCAGAATTCTCTATATACAAATGTTGACATTAAGTGTTGTCGAGTTGGTTCTGACTCATAGCAACCCTGCATATGGTTTCCAAGGAGTGGCTGGTGAGTTTGAACCAATGGCCTTATTCAAATGGACTTGCGGTCTAGTGCTTTATCCCACAGGACCCCATGTATCTTTTCTTTCAGAGGACATATAGATTATTTCCAATATCCAGTCTCCTTCCCCCAAAAAAACTTTTAAAAGTAGATTCATGTTTACTATAAGGTTTTTTTTTCTTTTCTTAAATCATTTTCTAAAAATAAATGTGCAGAAATGGCACTGGGTCAACATCACTATATCTTGGTAAGGAAGCATGGTGGCCCATAGGATACACACTGAACTTTGAAC